AAAAAAAAAAAAATTCTCTAAGGGCCTAATTTAGCCTTGAACAAGAAGGCTAGTGGAAGCTAATCAAAATAAAACTAAGACTGTGAATATTATATATCAGTATAAAATATCTAACATATAGTATTTTCAGAACAGGTAAGTATCTTAGAGATAATTTAATAAACACCACTTTAAAGATAAACTGAGGCACCAAGAAAAATTTCCTGACATTACAAACATTCTATTATCAGATGTGAAAATGATGTGCTTACTTAAAAAATAAGAGAATAAGAAAAAGACCTAAAATTCAAGTTTCCAAGACCCAATAAAGAAGCATGAAAATCACTGGTAAAAGATTTCCCTGTCTTGAGAACTAGAAAAATATGCACATGCTATATGATATACTCTAAATGAGAAAAGCTACTGACACTAAGAAACAGATTTATATATATTAAATAAAGGACTAAGTCATATCAGAAGTGTCAGGTCTTCATATGCAAGCCTGGAGCCTGAAAGTTTGAAGTCCTGCTTGCCTCTGCTGATTGTCTCCCACCCATCAGCCGGGACAAGCCCCTCACCCCACCCTGCCATCTTAACTGTTATTATGATAATACTCTTATTCCACCTGCCATTGTAACTGAACTTATGGGTAATGCATACTCCTTGCCCCTACGCCACCACTGTAACTGATCTTACTCTGTGACTTTCCCCTGCCAACTCCTAACCCACTGCCCTTTGCTAATGCCCTTTTCGGCCTTGGCCCACCTCCACCCAGGTGAATAAACAAACATGTTGCTCACACAAAGCCTGTTTGGGGAGGGGTCTCTTCATTCAAAGTGTGCATTTTCAACAAGAGGAATGAAAGTATAAAAATATAAACCAAGGTCGAGTGTTACAGCTCTTTTAGAATTTGTCTAGCAGGCTTTCCGGTTTTTGCCAGAAAGCCCCTTAAAAAAAAAAAATATATATATATATAAATATATATTTACACACACACACACACACACACACACACACACACACACACACCCCAAGGTCAAAGTGAGAATGAAAGTAACTACCCCTCTAATACCTAGCTAATTAAAGATTTTTTTTTTTTTTTTGAGATGGAGTTTTGCTCTTGCTGCCCAAGCTGGAGTGCAATGGCGCCATCTCGGCTCACCGCAATGTCCACCTCCTGGTTCAAGCAATTCTCCTGCCTCAGCAAACTGAGTAGCTGGGATTACAGGCATGGGCCCCGACACCTGGCTAATTTTGTATTTTTAGTGGAGATGGGGTTTCTCCATGTTGGTCAGGCTTATCTCAAACTCCCAACCTCAGGTAATCTGCCCACCTCAGCCTCCCAGAGTGCTGGGATTACAGTTGTGAGCCATTGCACCCGGCCTAAAGATTTTTTTACACAAATAAAATTAACTCTATAGCTGCAAGGTCAAATCATATAGTTTTTCAGTATGTGAGGCAAGTCCAACAATACAACAGGTAATTTTATGTATCAACTTGACTGACGCATGGGGTACTCAAACACTATTTCTGGGTTATCTGTGAGGGTATTTCTGGATAAGATGAGCATTTCAATGTGTGGACTGAATAAAACAGAATGCCCTCCCCACTGTGACCAGACATGATCCAACCCATCAAGGGCATGAAAAAAATAAGGCTGAGGAAGAGGGAATTCTCTCTGTCTGATTGGTTGAGCTGGGATATCAATCTTTTGCCCTCAGAATGGGACTTACACCATTGGCCCTCTAGTCTCTGAATGACACTACCAGCTTTCCTGGGTCTCCAGCTTGTAGAGAGCAGATTGTGAAACTTCTCAGCCTCCATAAATGCATGAGGGAATTCCTCATAATAAATTTAAACACACACACACACACACACACACACACACGCACACACACCCCTCTATATATTATTGGTTCTGTTTCTTTGCAGAACCCTGACTAATACAAATAATATTATAGGTTTTTCTACTGGAATTACATTCCAGTCTCAGCTGACAAAGACTTAACTCTGGCTAAATCCAACCATCCACCTACTACATACATTCCCCTAAGTAGCTGATATCTGGCTGGAGGAAAATTACACAAGACCACTAGTGGCTAGTCTCAACTTTACATTTATAATTTTAATTTTATTTTATTTTAGATGGAGTCTCACTCAGTCACCCAGGCTAGAGTGCGGTGGCACAATCTTAGCTCACTGCAACCTCTACCTCCCAGGTCCAAGTGGTTCTCCTGACTCAGCCTCCTGAGCAGCTGGGACTACAGGCATGTGCCACCACGCCCGGCTAATTTTTGTATTTTTATTAGAGACTGGTTTCACCATGTTGCCCAGGTTGGTCTCGAATTCTTGACCTCAGGTGATCTGCCTGCCTCAGCTTCCCAAAGTGCTGGGGTTACAGGTGTGAGCCACTGCACCCGGCCATATTTACAACTTTATATTACCTTTTCCTCAATCTGCTTTCAACCTGCCCCTCATCCCCTCCTGATATGCCTGGTATCCTTCAATTCAAAGCATCCGCCATTCAATTCTTCCAGAAAATAAATCTCTAGACCTCTGCAGGATGAAGGGGAAAGTTACTTGGCTACATAGGATTCAACAGAACATATGCAAAATTAATCATTCCTTGTATCATATTCCAGCCAACCTGTTTTCAGTACCACACCTCACCTAAGCCCTTATAGATCCTTGGAGTCTCTACATTACAAATCTCTCTAAGGTTCTGTGGGG